GCAAAAGAGGTTATTTTGAAACCTTGGATTACTGCAAAAGCATAGCCTTATCTAAATTAGTTCTGCCCACACTCTCAGCCAATAAATTTCTCCACCTGTTTACATATTGATTTTTTCCCCATCTTTTATTTATTTCAGCTTTGAAAAGAAAAAAAGTTTATTAAGAAGGTAACAGGAAATACGAGTTGAAAAAGGTTATTTTTTTTTTGTCAAATGTCTCTTGAGCTGGATCACCTTACAAAGGTAAGTTAAAAGATTTAAAATGTTGTCATCTAGTGTAGAATTCTAATTTGACTTATGCAACACATTTTCTCATTCAAAACACAATTATTTCTGTGTTGCAACACCCTGCTGATCTGGATCAGAACCCATGAGCTCTCAGCTCTCTCCTGGGATGTAGAAAAAGAATTGCCTAAAGGATCTTTATTTTTCTAGTGCATCCATTTTTGCTTCCCTTTTTCTGAAACAAATAAAGCAGTGCAACATATATTTAACAGCCCCATGGCCACCCACAAGTAAATGTGAGAGCTAATAATCAACAGCAGCTTGTGAGATTTCACAGATGGATAATTAAAACGTCTATGTTTAATACTTCATGTTCCCTCTGATTTAAGATGTGGACAGATTTGCATTCCTGTGCAACTCACTGCCAGGGCACTTAACCTCTGATACCACAGTGGAATGGTTCTGCCTCTTGATACTTCTCAGATGCTCACAAATTACTTCTACTGATTTCACCTTGAGCATTTGATCTCATCCAAAGGTGTGGCTTCTCTGAGAGGTCAACAGTGTTATACAATCAAATTAATACTTAGATAGGAATACTCAGCTCGTCATTTATCAACTCATTTAGAGCACTTTGTGATTAGTTTTTATTTCTGATGAAGCTGTTGTCTCACAAAAGTTTACAGAACAACAAGTATTAGAGCATTTACTATTCCTTGGAGACTCATTTCTCCTGAACCAGCTCTGGAGAACCAGTTGAGAGACCCAAATCTGCCTGAAAAGACAAGGCAGACAATTCTTAGTGTGGACTCAACGCATGCTGGACAAATTTCTGCTTAGCAGCAAGGGCTAAGTGAGTTGTTCAGCAACAAGAGTGCAGCCAGCCCCTTCCTTAGAAAAGGCAGAACCCTTCAGCACCTTCACAGTCCTACTGTGGTCTCACTTCTGAGTGCATGAATTTAGGCAGAAGTACTGAATGCCAGTGCAGTGTGGTCCATAGCTGAGGCACAGCAACTTCAGTACATAAGTACATAAAAATAGTTATTTTCAAAAACAAGTGCATGAATACATAAGGAACAAAGCTTACCTAGGAACAGACACCCCTCAGAGGTAAGAAAAGATGCAGACACTATAAAAAAAACCCATCCCTTATTCCACAGAGTAGCTGCTCTACAGCAAATGTGCTGGTTTTGACTGACCTATTCAAAAGCAGTGTTTTGTCCAAATATCCTTTCTTGGAGAAACTCTTCCCGCCACAAGTGGCAAGAGAAATGTGACAGTTTCAGAGAAACAGGTTAGCATTGAGACCTGCATTTAATTTAACCCACTGCTCCAGTGGTTAGGCTACAGGGCAAATCATATGGTTTTGTTTTCTCATATCCAATAAACATTTTCAACAGCCTGTGTAGTTTTGGGACTTTGCAAATGGCTGCAAATGCATTAATCATAAGAAAGACATATGAGAAACTCTTCCACTACCTTGTGTACAAAAAGTTGGAGAAACTAGAGTAACTTTATATCCTGCAGGTGCCTTTTGGAAGCACAGAAAGTTTTCTAAAATTGACTTTGCATTGTATCACTGATTGCAAATCTCTGGATAATAAGTTCTGCTACAGCTTTAATTCATTGACCTGATAAGGCTCATTGGTTGTCACAGAGCTCTGAAGTGCTGCTCCAAGGTGTTTTCTGGGTAGAGATTTCATTTTAGACAGGACAGGATCAGGGATCAAGAAACTTAGGTCAAAGCATTTAAGCCACTGAATAATGAAGTCAGGGCAGTAGCATCTTACACTGCAATGAATATCATTATTGGATACAAAAGAAAAATAGTCAGCCAAGAGCTCTCTGAGCTGAGTTCCCTGTTGTATTAAACAATTGGATCAGGCTATGGCATCATACCTGCCTTTTAGCAAGACTGAACTCTCCAGCAGCGAGCTTATTGTTTTTGGTCTAGTGCCCAGTGCTCCAGCACATCACCCTTCTGCTCTGAGGGTTCACTGTGCTTTGAGGCAAGAGCTTTTATTTCAAACTAGACCAGGCAGCAGGTCCATACCCAGCCTCCCAGGGTACTCCTGACATCCTGGGACTCACTTGCAAGTCTGAGCTCATTTGCCCTCCTTCAGAGCTGGTTTCTAACACATGACCAAGTCATTGCAGAAATTCCCTGCCTTCCTTGTTGTGATCTGTACTGGACTTTCTTCTACCTTGAATGTATTTCCATCTCATCAGCTACCTGGTTTTGTTCTCAGGGTCAATAATCTCTCCCTTGCTGAAAACAGGCATTTTATTTTGGGGCCATGAGTTCTTTTCCATATATGTCACCAACAAGGTTTTTGCTCTTCTTTAGCCACACTGGTGTCCAGATCAATGTGATGACGTTATTATCACCTTGTCCTGACTTTTTGTGCTGTAGCTTAACCTTCTGGTTAGATTCTTCTGCATTACTTTAACTCATAACTCCCGATTTCATTTCAGTGATTTCATAACTTCTTTGAACACACAGCCCTTTGCCTTGAAGGCTTTTTCTGCTGTTCCTAAAATAAACTCCAGATGACTTTTCTACCTGTAACTTGAGGACACTGCTAATATTTAAATGCTTTGGAGTAGCTGACATATTTTCAAAGTTATTTTGAGCTCAAGAGCCTTATTAGAATAGGCACTGCCCTAGGTTTGTTAATCATTCCTCCTTTCCCCAACAGTAATGCCACAGAGCCTCAGCTACTCAGCCCTACAATAACAGAACAATCCCAAAGAGTCCTCAAACATCCTTCTTAATCCTCTTAATTTGTTGTTCTTAAGCCATGACTAAGGGAGGCACTTGGCTGTGTCCGGCACATCCATCACTGCACAAGCTGAGGTATTTCTGCGACATGAAATTCCCTCCTCAGCTCCTTGAAAGTTTCTCTGCCATTTCCACACTGGCCCTCCCAGTGTGTCAGCCAGCCCATTTTTTCCTCAGCCAGCTCTGACAATGGCCTCTAAAATATTTTCCTCTTGTCCTGAAACACTTTGCTCCTGTCTTTGAGCTGCCAGCTCACCAAATCTCCATCTCCCACAGAGGCTGACCCTGCTCCCAGCCATCCCTGTTTATGTGCTGCCTTGGTGAGGAACCCATTTCAAGGTCTTTTTCTCATCCCCCTGGTGCAGGTTCCCAACTCAATCATACTTATTTGCAGACCTATTTTTATCCCTCTCTTAATTCTCCTCAACTTGTATTTGATAACAATTTTAGTGTAGTTTGTACCTAAAAATTACTTTACCATTCTCACCCTAAGCAGTTTGAGTCCAGGAGCTGGGTTTTTTTTATTATTTCCAGTTTTATTTTTTCCAGGATTTTTTTGTATTTCAGCCATGCTTTGCCATCTTCCTTCCATCCCATTACAAGCATTTTCTGTTTCTCCTGATTTGCACTTCATCTTTGAAATTGCAATTAAATCCTTTATTTCACCATGGTTTTTGCCAACTGAGATATCCACCCTCGGCTTCTTCCCCAGAAGCTCCCATTTCTCCACTTTTCTCCATGCTCCTGTTACTAACACAATTGGTATTGCAGTGCTGGCTCATTAATCACACCTCTTCTCTTTCCAGTCTTTGGGACCACGTTTTCATCAGCTGCATCTCAAATTTTACTACAGTTCTCACTAGTTTTTCACCTCATTCCTTGTTGTCTACCATAGTATCCTTTATTTCTGCTTTTTTTTTTTTCCATTTGCTTATGTGTTGGGAAAAAAAACAAACCTGGAAGGCATTAATGTTTCAGGCACACTAACATAGAAGTCCCCTCTTACATCATCTATCCTGATTGCTGTAGTCAGGAGGTTAAATATGGGCTTCAGGTGGTAATGAAAGTAATATATGATTCAAAAATTCATCAGTGCTTTGCTGCTATTTTACATGCTCCTCTCTAAAACAGGGACCTAATTAGAATAAATTGAGCCTATTTTTTTTAATAATAAAGTGTATTTTTGACAGTAATAGTAAAACTACCTGCTACATTTTATTCTGTGACTCATTTTAAGCATACAGTTTGCAGCCACTGCCAGGGCCACTGTTAATTGTGCCTTGTACTGTATCTTGAACTCTCCTTGAGGCAGTGCAAGTGTTTAAGTAGGCTAGATTTTCTTTTTAACTTGCCTTCTATCTTAAAAAAAAAATTAATAAGGTCACCTAAAAGAGACAATGAGGCATGTGGAACTTTCTTCTCTCAAGCTTCTTGAAAGAGATGATTAAATTTCCTTTCTTTCCTGCTATTTCTTCCACCACAAAATACATGCAAGTGTATCTCTTTTCTATTGATCTCAAAACCAGAAGCTGCTACACATCTGCAAACATAATGTGAGATAGACCCAGAGGCCAAGATCCAAGAGGCCATGTAGGCTGGGTGACAGAAGTTGAAGGAGAACCTGATGGCCTGATGTTTTGCTGTTCAAATCATGATTAAAACTATTGTCACAAAAAAAAAAAATTAAAAAACAAATTTTAAAAAACCCGTTTCATGGGAAATTAGTATCTGTAGACTGAGAGATTGAGCAGAGCTGTAAAACACTAATTCAGAAATTATATAGGGCAAAACTACTGAGGAAATGCCCCGTGATTTTTGAAGCTCTTGGTGAGATTTCTGTGCTCACATGGACGTTGAAAGAAAAACTGGAACATTAAATATTTGTTCTGGAAAGTCTTCAAAGACTCTTCCAGTTGAAACAGATTTGTCTGTGCCTATTACTACAGTATTTAGAGATAAGCAGTGGGCACAAAATTACACCCATAAACATTACCTTTTGCTGATTTTGAGATTTCTGGAAACCTATGTTGTGATGACATTTCCTTCCTTTGAGGGCCACAGTCAGAACTAATAAAAGACAAAGATAAAACAGTCAGCTTTCTCAAACCATTTTTGCTTTCTAAATTCTCTCACTTTTCCAAGTGTGTTTCCTTTTAGCTGATGCAGGTGACCTGCTGACATCCCTCGTTCCTCATGTTACTGGAAATTGCCAGTTGATAAAATCACCAAGACAAGAAGATGGAGTAGGAACCCATTTTGCATGAGCACAGAGTGTTTTACCTTCCAAAGCCTAACAAATCATTATTTTTCTCACAGGTTTTGTTGTTAATCCAAGTTATTTGCAGAAATTTAGAGATCATGGGAAAAGCAAGTTACAGGGTTTTTAGACGACGACTTAAAAGAGATGTTCCAAATGTGTCAGATCCATTACTTGGGAAACACCTAGTCCAGATTAGAAATTTTTCATTGAAATTATTTTTCAAAGGTAAACTGAGTTTTGATTGAACTCAATGAGCAGAGCTGCAGAAATGTTTGATACCAGTTCAAAATTCATCAGTGGTTTCATTACTAAGTAAAAATATGGGAAGGCTTCCTGGTTTATTCAAGAAATACTCTCTGCAGAGTTGAACAAAAAAGACTTTTATTTTTCCATTCTAATAACTTTGAAACGTTAGAGATATTTCATCTTCATTTTGTATACATCCAAGCAAGCTGAAGAAAATTAATTTACATAGGAGAGAAAATGTTTTTGTCCTAAGATGGTATCCCAAAAGACAGTTTAATATAAAAAATAATAATTTTGGCATATCAACTGATTTTATTCTTTTTTTAAAGGTGATGTGGATATTGCCAGGAGTCTATACCCCATTAAAAAATAGCAGCAAAAGCATTAGTGATTGTCTGCATATAACAAGATTTTGCCATATCAACCCTTTGCAGAGATTCAAACAAGTATTTGTGTAATTGCCTTTTTGCCCTTGTGTCAGAAATAGTCGAAATTTTGCTCAGCCTTTCCCAGCTCTTATTATGCAGCTTCTCCAGGAACAGAATCGTGGCTCAGCTCTGACAGTGTGAGTTCACACTGCAGGAAGGCTTCTGTGCCAGGGCTGCTTCAGCCACAATGCAGCATTTTCCTCCCTGAAGACCCCATATCTGTGAGCACAAATTGGGTAGATAAACTCCTTACCATGGCCACGGCAAAACTCATAAATGCCTGACAGGGACGGATTCCCTGCCACAACACACACAGACCCCAGCCTGCCACAGCTGCTTTGTTACCTGTGAAATCTGTAGTACAGGCAACAGTCTGCATCTGACACTTCCCCAGGAAAGACAGACTTGCTTTACTTCCAGCCATGTTTTACATGCAAAGAAGGAATGTTTGATTTATACCACAAAATGTCCTGCAAGTGACAACAGAATAAGAGTGAGCAGCTCACTGGCACGGAGTGGAGAGAGTGTGGAAGGCAGCCACAGGCTGCTTCTGCCAGCAAGAGGAGGTATCTGGAAGGAAACTCCAGTGAAGATGGATCTTTTTTAGGAAAGAATTTCATTCGGGATCTATGGCTTATCTATTTGCACAAGAGTGTGTATTTCATAAACCAGCTTCTTGCTTTGTGACCAATTACTCTGGGATTTTTATGAGTGCTGTTTTATAAGTACTGCAAAAGCAAAATATTTTAGAATTGAATTATACTCATCTCTTTCAGGAAACATTTTTATTTAGAAATAGATCTTAGCCTTTTCTACAGGGATTAGTTACAAAACAAAAATATTTTATGTACCTATTTAGGTGTGGGATCAATGAAACTTATTTTCATGGCCATTGTGTTGATGCAGTAGTGACTGCTGAATTTGCCTCTGTCTGCAATCCTTAACACTTAATTCAGAAAACTCCATCCTGCTGTAAACTGTAATACTACAAGTTTGGGTTTTAAATGGACATAAGTAAAACAGTGAACCCAACACACAGAAAGCAATACTCTGAATGCAGGATTTGTTTGATTTAAAATCAAATTATCAAATTAAAAAAAAAAAAAAATACTACAGCAGCTTCCCTTAAATGCTCTATTTAGAAAAGATACACCATTTTTCAAGTTGCTTTGTATCCTGCTGGCCTCATCGTTAGTAACCATTCTGAATCAAACAGAACAGAAACTAAATTTGGTGTTGACGATGGGAATTTTTGATTCATTCAACTCTGTTTTACAAATTCACTCATTGGTTTAGTGTCACAATCTTCAAAAAGCAGCAGAATGGGTACTGATACCAGGCCTGCCCTGTGGCTTCAGAAGTTGCAGGAAAAAGTGTGAGTTGTGTGGAGATTTGTCAAGCCCCAGGAAATCTCATCTCTGTTTTCCATTGTGAGAGAGCAACTTGAGGATCAAAACTACTGCAAATAAACAATGAAAAAAAAAATCTGCTAAGGTGGAAATATTTGCTTCACACCACACAGAAATCTACCTCCCTCCAGCCCTACTCCTTCCTCCTCAAAGAGCTACACCTGTGTCCTACTCCCAGGGAAAGACAGCAATGTCACTAGGAACCCCACTCTACCCAAAAAAAGTAATTAAAAAATCACCTTTATGGAAACTCTTGGCTTACTTTACCTCTAGCTCTCACTACATACATCACAACAGCTCTGTTTAAAGGGAAGAAAAGTAAACTCTTGGAAAAATTCATACATTGCAGTGGTGATGAAGCAGATGCCACAGACAGGGTACTGTAAATTTTAGTTAAGTAATAAAGGTGAATGATACTAAAAAAAAAAAAAAAGGAAAAAAGGAAAGGATACCAATAATAGCATCAGCAAAGGCAAAACCAATAGAAAAACTCCTGCAGCATCTCAACTTTCCTGTAAATGACTGTGCTAATAAAGGATGCTGAGAGAATAAAATAAGAGGAAATAGAACACTCAAGTCAGAAACATTTCTAAATATTCACTAATATGTTTGAAAAGTTTCCAGACTTTTCACTGGAAACTGACATCTGCCAGTGGCTGTTGGAGCAGGGCAAATCTATTTGCATGTTTCTAGTGCAGAGGCAGTCATGTTCATGGCAGATGTTTGTCAGTCACACTTTACATGCCCCAAAAGAGATGTATTGCCCAATTAAACAAAAAAATGCATTTAGGGCAACTCTTGGTCACATCTGGCTAAGAGCAGCTGTGTTGGAATAAAGGTAGACAAAATCCCCTGTTATGTAAGAAGCATCAACCTCCCATGAAACATTAAGATGGAAAATTTATTAAATTAATGGTAGTTTGGTTTCTTCTCTCTTCTCCTTGGAAATATGTTAATTCTTCTCTTATCAAGCAAGAATTGTCTTCAGGTTGGTTTAGGAATTTTTCCCTTCCTAATTTAGCCTAATGTAAGGACCAGATTATTAAAGGAAAGGAACATTTCAGCTGCCTAGAAAGGTGACAAAGGAAAGAAAAAAGAAACAAAGGTATGAAGTTAGAACTGACACAGAGAAAGCAGCCAGGTTAAAAATTAATTTGATCATTACATTTACTAAAAAATTCAGAAAATAAGTTTTAGTTAGCTGCTACTATTAAATCGAGAATGACAAGCAAGTGGTAGAGCTAAAAGGGCAAGTCATAGTCCAATATTTACAGAGATTTCTGAGCACTGCACACACCAAGCCTCCATTTCTGCAGCATGTGAACACAGGGCTCTGAGCCAGGAACACCAGGGCAAGCAAGGGATCCTTGAGGTGTCATGGACTTGTGTGTTTACTGAAGAATTCATTACAGATGGGCTGCAACAGGTGGAATTTTTATTACAAGCATGAAGCTCTGGCAGTGCTGGCTGTCCAGACTAAACCAACCCCTCCAGCTTTGACAGCCAAAGCATGAGAAAGAATTCAAAACTTCTACTCCAACTCCTCTCTTAGGCTTGTACATGAGAAGTCCAGGACTGGAGGAAGAATAGGGGGTGATGTTTTCCATCTCCCAGCTTCTTAGTATAACTGAATTCCTCCTATCCCATTTAGGAGAAGAATGGGAGAATTGTCTTCAGGTAATTGGTCTAACTGTAGAAGGTCCCCATCTCAAATGTAAGTGGCTGTAAAATGGGACATACTTTTGCATATTCTGAAGATTTAGATTGGAAAAGAATGCAAAAATTCAATTTCTCTAACTAGAAGTTTAACAGCAGATGAGGGGGCCAAAGGACTGGTCAGAGAGGGTTCAGGGAGTGCCTCAAGGATTGCTTTAATTGGCAGATGTATTCGGTTATGAAAATGCACAATTTGCTTTTACTGACACACAGTTGTCTTTTCTCGCTGTGAACAGCTACTTGAAAAGAGGCTGAATACAGCAGATGAACTTATTAGTATTTGTTAATTAAATGCCTGCAGTCACTTCATTTATCGTGTTTAAAAGTTTAGAAACACAAAGGCAAAACATAAAACTGATGGACAAGGATGTCAGAGAACTGAAATCATGAAGTATAACTGAAACCAAGACTTCAACCTTTACTGCTCAAGAGCTGCTTCAGATTGTGGCCAGAAACAAGAAACCAGAGTGCCCTCTAACAGAGGGATGTTAGTTGGGGATTTCAAAAAGTCCCCACAAAATTCTTCCTTTCTTCCTTAAACTTGCCATCAGCTGCTTCCTTCCTCCTACACTCATCTGCAAATCTCATCCCCTCAATACAAAGAAAAGAACAGAAATCTGTGCTTGTATTTTGCCTTTGGCTGGAATGAGAAAAACTCTTGATAGCAGAAACTCCCTAATTTTTAGTCATTATAATTTGTAATTATTATGGCCACATGCTAATGTATCCCTAAACATCTAAATGAAAGAGAAATTATTTGAAAAAGACTGGAAGGCAGATGCCACCAGCCTAGCAGGTCAATGAAATCAGCTAGTAATTAAAGTTTTCTAAAGAACTAATTCTTTCTGATTTCTTTTCAGCAACTTGAAAAGAAAACACAGAGGGGGTCCTTCCTTTAAATGCAATGATATTCATCAAATCCATTTGTAAATATTAGTTCAGTTAAAACAACACATAAGATATAAAATGTAATTAAGTTCTGTATAGATTTCACTTTCATGGAAGACTAAGAACAGCAAGGAAGAAATGATGCTATTCTGTTTCTAGAGCTCATAGGAACCACTAATGATTTCAAAAGCCCACGACTCATCAGCTGCAATTAAAACAATTGCAGTGACAGTGACCTCAGCAGAAGACAAAATATAATTGCATAGGCAGCAAAGAGTATAGAGAGATGAAGCTGGAATACAGATCTTACTGATTCATGGGATGCCTAAAAGAATAATTCTCGCCTAGCGTATTCGTGAGTTCTTCCTAACATGCAGGTACAGCAAGGATGGCTGGCCAGAAAACAGCAGCTCCAATGCACTGCACATCTCTGGGGGATTTGACTTCTGCTTTGGAAAAAGACATCAGTGTAGACTGTTACTGGAGGGAAAGTAACACAGCCCAGAAGCACAGACGCTGCCAGTAGGTGAGCCATGTGCTGCACACAGCCAGCCTTATGGTCTGGAACATCTCACATGTATTTGTTTATGCACTTATTATTTTTAGTAATAATGAGCAAGGACATGCTAGCTTCAACAGAACACCTTCCACAGGAAAAAACAGCTTTGTATAATTTCCTTAATTGTAGCCCTGATGGGCAGCTACTTTGATTAACTGGCAAGATGAGCAAAACTTTCAATCTTGAAGAACGGTGGAATTAAAAAAGAAAGTTTGTATGTCACTATCTGGCCATTATTCTCAGCTAAACCTCCTTTCCCATTTTATCCCTCAAAATCTTTGCTCTCAGTATCATCTTGTGCAGGTCCATTGTCCTCTCTTCACTTGCTGATTAATCACAGCACAGACTTTGATACTCTTAAACATTTTTTTTTTCACAGGTTGGACAAATTATCTGCATTTGAATTGTTCTCCTCTCCTCCTTCAGTCTCAAGTTTGCAGCTTCTTTTCTCAGAGCCCTAAGAGCATCATTGCTGCCTTCCCCAATGGGATGTTTAGACCACATGGGCATTTTCTCTTTTCCAGCTAGGCCTCCAATGAAAACGATTGTTCTCTTTAACACACAGAACGAGCAGAAAAGCCATACAAAATGGCTACATCCCATTGAGGGTTTCTTTTGAAAAAAAAAAAAAAAAAAAAAAATTACCCAGTTAAATAGCTTTGTGACCAAAAGAGCTTGAAAAAATGCCTTCTAAAAGTCACTGTCCCTTGTATCTGGCTGCTAAGCTGCCAGCATAATCATCCCCTCAGCAATCTCATTTAAAATGAGCCATGTTTGCAAAACCCTACTGTTTCAGCAAACTTGACCTATCCAACCAGAGCAAGTGAGCTGGCAGAGCTAGTCCTCCTTTGGGATGCAATATTGGGCAGCTCACAACTCAGAGAGGACCTATGATCCAAAACCCACTCTTCCTGATCCTCTCCTTTGTCCTTCAGCACTAAGACTTGAGCCCAGCTGAGCCTACCTGTTTGCAGGTAAACCTGACTTGATTAAAACATTCTCTTCATTCTGTGTCTCCTCTCCTATTTCCTTGCCATGTTTTCTTAAGTGCCAGAGTGCACTGGCTTGTACTGGAAGTGACATTAGCAGGCACACTTAAAGCATAAAATATGAGATAATATCTAATGTCTAATTTTTTTGTTTTGTTTTCCTTCTCTGTTAAATTTGATACTTATCTTTCTAGCTTGGCCTGAATAACCTTTACTGCTAGTAGTAGCCAAGGAAAGGAAAGAAACCCTAAGCCCCTAAACTCATTGTAAAGATTCTAGACTGGAAATTAGGAAATAAATAAATCCAATAGTCATGCATTTGGACATCTGATATGAAAAAAAGTGAGAGACAAACCATTTTCTGAGACCAGAACTAGACAATAAATCACAAGTAATACAAAGACTTCACCAAAAGAAATTCTGGGAAAAAAACAATTCTCCCTGTTGATATTTCTTGTGGTTTGGACCTTTGTTTGAAATCTGGTTGCTACTTCATGAAAGTTTCTTCCCTAACACCTTTCTGTATAATCTAATAGCTGGATGTCTAAAGGGGTATTTTGAAAAGATGCTTCTAAATTCCTTACTTTCCAAAAGTTTTAAAATCTCAAACTAGACCAGAGAAACTGAAAGCTTTTCTGGCACTTACAAGCAATATTTTTCAACCAAGCCAAACTCTCTGCAAGCAGAAAGAGAGCTGATGAGTCAAACACCCATGAGATCCACAATGGTCTTTGTTCTCCTAGTCTGTTTTATACAGCAGATGTACAGATACTGGAGGGGTGAGTGGCAAAAAAAACCCTAAAAGAGATATTCCCACAGTTCCTCGATACCTCAAGGCAGCTATGAAAAGCCACAACTAACACTTACTTCCACAAATACTTTTTTGTTTACAGATAAGCCCTGCAGTCTATCAGCAGGAAGACAATCCCATTTTCAAGCTCGTGTTCTATTCATCAGCAGCAAAGGAAAAAGAAAAAAGAATCTTACAGTTAGGTTTGTCTTTACAATCCTAGGTTTTCATTTGGGAGCGACATTCCAGTTTCTAACCAGAACTGGTACTCAAGGTAGAAGCTGAGAAGGGAACTGAGGGAATGAAAAAGGGCATTGCACAAGAAGAGGATGGATATAATTGTGTCCACCCCCTGCCAAATGCTGTACCAGCATTTGGCACTCTCAAGTTTAAAATTCTCCCTGCTTGGTGCTTAATGACACTTCCTGGACATCCACCACACAAAAACATGAAAAAGTTCTGTTGGATTATAATGGTTACAAGGGAGAACTAAGAAAGCTTGTGGCACACACACAGGAAGGCCATGAATTCTTTACTGTGCTTTGATGAAGAAAGAACAAAAAACTAAAGCAGAAAGACTCAGCATCTTTGAAGCTGGCCATTTTGTTAGCTTTTGCCTGTAGCTGCATTTCCTAGTCAGGAATGACAACAGAAACTTTAGACAGTATTTATGTACTTACTTGAAGGAAAAGTCTCCATAGTTATTTGTTTAATGAAAGAGATGTTGCTTCTAGATCCAATTAGATAAATTTATCCTATGAATGAATGGACCTTCTAAATACACAATAAAAACAAAAATGGTGATTATGGTGGTAGTATTTTAATCCATGAAGGGAAAAACTGAACAAAGTTCTTAACTAGAAAGAAATTATATGTTTGTCGACTTTGTATGAGGAAACACACAGTTTTCTGGGAATTTTTAACCCATGGAATCATCTTCCATCTTTAAGAATTTATTGTGAAGGGAATTTTGGAGCAACTTGAGAAGAAAATGCAGTGAAGATTTAATTCAATTATGGTTTTATCTAAAATGTTCCTATTTGTTTCAGTTGGCTTCAAATCAGGGTCTTAAACTGGAAAATACACTGCAGTGCACTGTGAAATGGAGGAGAACTATGCTCAGGGTACATACACAAAGGTGGTACAGGACTACTGAAATCTGCTGGCTTCTCCTTCTTCACCGAGGTGGATTATGCAGCTTCTTCCCATGTCAGGGTGTGTCTGTCCCACAGCCAGCACGTGTGCCAGTGTCAGTGCTCCCCAAAAGCCCTGGACAGCATCCTTTACAGCTTGTGCTGTGCACGGTGTCCCTACCTTCCCCCGGGGGCTGCCACCCTGCTGACCCGGGGCTTCTGAGCAGGTCCCTGTCCTTTGGCCCAGAGGACCAGCACTCCCTGTAATAGCTGAAGGGTTTCTAAACTGGTGCAAAAATCCCCTGGCTCTTTGTGAGCCCGGTGCAGGACCCAGGTGGAAATCACCTGATACCAGCAAGACACAGCCACGCTCTCCTTAGTCAAGTCCAGCAAGACAACAGCTCTTCCTAGATGCTAATTAATCTCATTTGATGGCTGTCACTGGTAGGCCAGGGGAGTTGTCTCTGAAGGGGAATTTGGGCTGGCTGCATAGGAGCAGGTAAGCAGTTTTCTAGCACTTAGTGAGGTGATTCCTGCCCCGGCCCCCAGCTGAACTTCAGATCCCTCATTCTTGCTATGGCTATCATCCTCTGCAACACTGTCATATATTTTTGCTACAGATGCCTCCTCCCTTCCCTCCTCCTTCTCTTTTTTGAGGGAAGCTGCAGTGGTGTCCTAGGGTTCAAACAACCTGCAGTGCCTTGGACACATCTTTCAAAAACCAACATTTACAATTCATCAGTTTGCCCTGCCCTAGCAGTACACTCAATTTAAACCAAAGTTGCCTTGTTCAAAACATCTATCAGCTCACCACTGTATAAAAGAGGGGAAAAAAACAAAAAAAAACTTCCTCCTAAAACAGCAGGTAGAAAGTAGGTAAAAGATGAGCATAGTGAGCATAGCACTGGCATATTAAAACTCACAAAAGAGCAAACCTAGATGGCCCTGCTGTAGAGGCAATGTTGGTACAGGAAATTTTTGGTTTTCCAAAGGCAGACACATTAAATACAACAAGGAATATTGGCTTTTCTATTTGACTTCAGAACAGCAAGAAACATGTCCTGAATGCGAGCCAACTGCCTGGCAGAATTGAACAGCTGGCTAAATTCTTTAGGCCTACAAAGGTTTTACATTAAAAATTCTACTTAAATTCTCCCAGGAGAGAGCCTGCCCAGGCCCAGGTAACCACAGGAGAACACCTCATTCTCTTCGAGGGCAGGGTGTGTCTGCACCCCTGGTTTAGAAGATAGAAGACCCCATCTACAGCTAATGGTGATGTAAGATTTTTCTTCTTTTTCTTCTGTAGCATCTCTAGATGGTTACCCAGTGTTACAAAGGTTATGCATCCAATCCTTTGTGTCACTAACTTGTCCCTTCAAATCCTCCTTTCAGCGACTATTGTGAGTTTCACAGCACATTCTGTAGTTGAAAACCTCACAAATATGGCCTCATTAATCTGCGTGCTAACATTTCAGGGTAAATCATCACTATTATCCTCATTTTAGAACCCAAGGAAATAAAATTCAGAGAAATAGTGAGACAGGCCATAGAGCAAGTCATTGTCAGAGGCAAGAGCACCACAGTGTTATTCCTCCCCCAGTCCCCATGCTCACATGGAGAGATGTGACATACAACAGCCTGAGCACACGAGTGGCTCTGCACAGGAGCCCTGCTCTGGAGTCACTGGGGGGACATGAAATGTATGTTTATTTACATTACTTCTCCCACTGAACTCAGCAGCATTGCAAGTTCAGGCAGAAAAGTACATTTTAAGAAATGATCACATGTGGCATTATCACTGACTCAGAGTGCCAAAATTACTGCATCAATTCATTTCACATTTGGCAAGTGAGATAAAGGTTTTCATTCTCCTAAACACCCCCACTGCCTCCCAACACCCCTGTAGTTAATTCATCCTAAGAGCCTGGCTACTACCAGAGCTAAAAACTCCCTTTGGAAACCTAGAACATTCTTAGCACACTTCAAATCCCACCCACTCAACCGTAGCCTTGGCTGTGGACACAGCCCTGCATTCATATCACACACACACATTCCCTGTCAGCATTGCCAACCAAAAAAGGACCCACAGTGCAACAAACAATAAAAATACCCTCTGTGGACTTTTCGGATTTTCTGTTTGCTTGCATAATCACAGTTATTGTTTCTACAGCTTTTCTCAGAAATATTTAATGTAATGTTAAATAATTATGAGAAAATCTTATTAGTACAAATTCATAATGATGTTATGACTAACTAGAAATATTTATCAAAGCAGTTGCCTTAAGAAAAAGAAAGAAAAACAATCTGTTACAACTACAGCATTACAAAATGTTTGCTTTCTTAGCATTTTATTATAAAAGCCAGATAAAGTAATTAATTTAATATCTTTTTAATTAAGCATTTGCTTTAGAGTGATTTTTCAACAGAGGTTTATTTATTATACTAAGAAAAGCTGCAAATATTTAATAGAAAATGCATGTCGTAGCTGATGAAGCATTTTCAGTCCATTGTTTCATATTTGGACAATTCAACAAAACAATGAATGCAGATGTGCTTGCAGAACTCAGTACATGAAATGTAAATGAAAAATAGGTTTAAGAATAGGTGGGAAAATTTTCAAGAATGGATGAAATGACATAATGAAAGCCAGAAAATGAGCCATTAAGCCCCTAGTCTTTCCCACTGTATCTTTTTAGATTTGAGGAAATGTGCAAAACTTCCCTGATGGGTAGTAAAACCTTTCTAGGATATTTATTGCTCTGGCTGATGCCTGATGAATTCTGACTGAAATTCCCTTCTCAGTGTATCCTTTGCCTTTTTTCCCATCCCGAGACAACTGGCTCCTCATGCTCCATACATCACACCTAGAGATACCTTGCCCAGGCTCGAGGTTGCCAAGTGAGATGTGTAATTACTGTGTGCCATGATAAACAACCCAGAGGGCTTGGCCTCCAGGTGCCAGTTCCACCCTCAGCAGGAAGCTAAGGGATAAGAAAGGCAAAACAAAATATAATCTGAGCTCAGGTTCATTCCCCAGGCTGAGGTTTGATGGAATGTTTATTCAAGCAGCTGGAATAGCAGGCATGTGCATAAAAGGCAGTATTTGCCATTTATTGTAGCTGTCATTTCACACCAGCACACTCCTGAGCACAGAATACTGTACGTGTCTTTCAAGCCAAAGTTGGCCTCACATCCCTGTTTCCATGTATGATGTCAGAGGTGTGCACTGCCTCAAACATCTGACACATTTGCTTAAAAGGGTTGACCCAGACCAAGAAATGAATTCAGTGGAAATTGTTTCTTCGTTTGCCTGGCTTGATCCCTCCTCTGTTTTCCCCATCTGTTTGTCTGCTATAGATGTGGCAGCCTTCGAGTTGTCTTTTTCAACCTGCTCCATTTTTCATACTTTTGAGGAAAAGACATAGTGATAAAAGGTTTTCCTTTTCCCTTCTGCAAGGTTTCAAGAGAATCTGTACCCAGGGGTTAAACACCTGTCCTTTGGTGCAGCTATGGGAGCAGGTCTGACTTCTGCAATGAACATTAACCAAGAGCTGAAGTGTTACTCTCCTTACCCATTCATGAGTTCAGGCAACTGATGGAAGAATACCAGTTTCCCTTTCTATAAAACAGAAAAAAGCCACATGGGTCATTGCCACAGGCATGGTCTCAGACACTCCTTCTCCACAGACTTTTGCCTGGCACAGCCATCAACTGAGCATTGCTTGGACAGCCAGGTAAGCATGGGGCAGCTCAGCTGAAGGGGAAAGGAGGTGAAAGTGAAAAAGATTTAGAAAGAAGCAAAGAAAGAAAATAAAGGCAAGAAGAGTTCTCCTTCCTCTCCATGCCTCACAGTATACCTTGCCAACACAGAGTCAGGATCATCTGCTGGTCCCGATGGGACTGGGGCTGGAGGGACCCTCTCTTCCCTACAAAAGGCTCTGGAGTAGAGTTCAGCTTGGAAATATGCTTTACCTTATCATCTCTCAACAGACACCTCTTTCAGAAAAATTAGGTGTTTCTT